TTCGAGTAATTGCTGTCTAATCGGAAACTTTAAAACCAAGCCAAAAGGTAAAGTTCAAGTAAACTATGCGCTTTACAAAATCAGATTTGAAACCAACTTAATAAAAAAGCACAACGAAAATGTCAGCAGCCTGCACTTTGCTCGTTGCTTAACGCTTGTAATTCGCAACTGGTTCTGGCAATGACAGCTGGACAAGCCGTTTGCAATGCTTAATGCGATAACAAAATCTGCTGCTGATGGAAACGGTCTGTTGCCAAACAGACTGCTTACGTGTTCATGGCTTCTATTCTTGTCTTGGTCAATAAAAATACGCAACAATATGGAGAGCATATATTACGCCTATAATTCGAATAAGTTGGTAACAAAATGGATTTGCGTAAATCCTAAACAGTTAACGGTCTGTTGGCCACGAGCTACTTCAACAGTTCGACTGGGAATTTGAAAATGCAATTTGCATTTCGCATTTTGTATTTGCCCGCGACGGCTGCCGACTTAAAGAGGCCGCCCGCAGGGCCGCAGCCATATGCGAATATCTTGGCTCGAGTGGCATTTTAACGCTTCACATGCATTACGAGGGCGGCTCCGAGTGGGAGCCACACACACGCCCACTAATTGACGCAAACAAATATATATATATATATATATTTATGTAAATTTCACGAGCCGCTGCACATTAGCTAATTTCAAAAAAGAAAAAAAAATCAGCGAACGTCGAGTGACTTCCGTTTCCGCAACGACAGCAAACGAGTACCTTCAATGGGGCGTGCGCGGGCATTAGGGGTAGTCCTTAAGCACAAGCTTGTGCAGTGCCCCTCGCCAAAACTTATGCTAATCAGTTGGGAAAGAATATGAGCCGGAAGCATTCGCCTAAATTCTATAGCATAGAGGTACAATTAGTCTATCTCTAAATCAATCAGTGAGTTTAATACATGATTGAGACACTGAGTAACTTATCAATCAATCAAGTTAATACTGATTGACCGAATACCTGACTGAAGGACAGACTGATTAAGGCACAAGGCAAGCCATTCGTTACACCAGTCAGTCAGTCAGTCAGTTTATCAATCAATCAGTGTTATATAAGATTCAGAAACTGATTGACTAATCAATATAACTATATGTATATTTACATAATAAATCAGTCAGTCGTCCAATACATACGAAACATCAGTCAGTCAATCACTCTCTTAATCAATCAATGAGTTATATATATTATTAACTGATCAATCAATCAGTTTTATATCGATTGACCAATCGATTAACAGATTGATTAATGTACATACCAAGCCATACGTTACATCAGTCAGTCAGTCAGTCAGTCAGTCAGTCAGTCAAACAGTCAGTCAGTCAGTCGGTCAGTTGATAAGTCTCTATGATTGAGAGTCTAAATGACGTTGTAACTATATATACCCATATCTGTATAATTAGTCAGTCTGTCAGTCTGTCAGTCAATCATCTAAATACATAAAATGGATTAATTAAGAGGCAGACCGACAGACTGACTGACTGATAAAGCACAAGCACAAGCTAACTCGCAATCAATCAGTTTTGGATATGATTGTGAGACTGACTTACTAATTTATATATATAGTAGCGGGTATACCCCGGCCTTGCCCTTGGTACATATAAAAGAAAATTCTCTCAAAGATCTTTGAAGGAAGCAAAGCAAAGTGCTTGATGGAAGTAAGCTAGAGAGAGAGAGGGTATCTGCTGGTCGAGTACTCCCAACTGGAGTACCCATGTTAAATACTTTCTTGAAACTTTCAAGATATTCACATGTTCCGCGCAAATCACAATATCTATACAAATTGTATATACTTAAAGCTTGACTTGCCTTTTCCCCAGCTGGAAGTAAATCAATTAAATTTTCTCTCAATCGAGTTTGAAGCTGATTTTCAATTTGGCTGGCAAACAAATTGTCAACTGCAGCCGCTGCTGACGACGTGATGTATACGCCCCATAAGCCAGCGGCATGCCGCATTCTGCGTTCACATACAAAGTCAGCAGCATTTTCATGCATGAATATATGCGTGCAAATGGCAAGGGGCCCCGCAACGGGGGCAGCAGTACACGCAAGCCAATTGTTGCTATCTCGCTCGCACCTTTGAGGCATTCAGAGCGTGAGGGTGGGCCAGGGTTGTCGAGGCGTAGGTAACACGAAAAACACAATGCAGCCAAGCAGTGCCCGACTAGCAGGCACCCTGTATATGCGCGTTTGCACTTCATTTTCCCATGTATTCGCAATGCGTTCTTCAATAACTTGGGTGTTTCGTGTCTGATCCTAATGAAATTTTCAAGGCTTCAATATGCCATAAAAAGATGTGTAAATACCCGTGCCCAAGGCTAAGCGTCCCAAATTAAGGCATGTAGCTAGGCATTCAAAGCGTAGAACATTCCAAATATATGACTTGCTACAATACTTTACGAAATTTATTTAGTTTCGAAAATATTCGATTTATGCTTAAGGTGTGCCATGTCTATACTATAGAACTGTTATACCTGCTCTAAGACATTTTGTACAGGGTATTAACATAAAAGAAGCAAAACAAACGACGAATCTAACGATGCGTTGAATGCTGGAATATTTGCATTCGAAATTGAGAAATTTCCACTTTCATATGTTTGCAAGTGTGCGTGTGTGTGTGTGTGTGTGTGTACCAAGAGTATGTTGTGGGAAAAAGTGCTCGGCTAGCAGACACCCTGTAATGTCTAGTCTAACTATCTATATGCATAAGTATGCCCAATTCCATATACGCAGACATTAGCTCCCATAGATTGTAAGAATATAGAGTCACTTTTATCCATATTTAGTATATATATTTTTTTTTTAAATATATTTAAGTATATATGTAAATTGCGAATAAAATGAGATTTAGTAAAAAGGCAGCTGGTATCATTTAGTGAGTGTGCCCTGTACTTATGTTAACACGCATTTACGTCAAGAGGAGGTATGCATACGAAATACAGGGTGACATTTCTATAGCAATGCCTCCGAGCACCGTACAGTAATACCTGGACCTGATGACCAATGCTATTGTTGGGATTATCAATTAGTGTTAGTTAGCTGATATTTCTTGAAAATTGAACAATAAGTAATCTTTCTGTCTATGAATAACTTTTAACACAAAGAAAACAATTACAAGTTAATAGTTAAAAATATTTGCGGAGTTTGTTTTATAATTTGAGTGCGACAAAAGTATGCAAATAACTCTTTACATTTGCTTGAGGCTTAAGGTTTTCCATTTTTCTCTAAACCTTTTATTTGCATCAATATTTTTAGAGGGAACACCCTGTTTATTTGGATGCAAATAATTTGCACATTGCTGGAATAAATAAACCAAGCGAATAAAATTCACCAAAGCAAGAAATGCACAGGATTGAGGATACGTTGAGGGTGCAAGCATATTCAGCGGCAAGCCGAAGACTAAATACCCTCGCACATATTTGTCGCGGAACTCCGAAAGCTTTGCCATACCAAAACTCAGCTTTCGACCGATTCTTTATATGCACTATTGGTTGGATGAGGATATCGTAAAACACAAAATAGCCTTCCATACAAGAACCAACTTTTCGACCGATCTTTCCTATGGTAGCTATATGTTGTAGTGGGCCGATCTTGATAGGATTTAGTATATATATGTGGTTCATAGTTAAACTTATATATGCCGAAATTGGGCCAGATATCTCGAGAAACAAAAAAGTTTTCCATACAAGAACCAACTTTTCGACCGATCTCTCCTATGGCAGCTATATGTTGTAGTGGGCCGATCTTGATAGGATTTAGTATATATATGTGGTTCATAGTTAAACTTATGAATGCCGAGTTTGGGCCAGATATCTCGAGAAACAAAAAAGTTTTCCATACAAGTACTTCATTTTGAACCGATCGTTCCTTTGGCAGCTATATGATATAGATATCCGATCCGAACGGTTCCCACATATCTTCTGTCCGCAACAGAATGTCGGAAATGACGGAATCAGAAACTGCGAGACTAGTTATAGAAGCCGAAAGATGGACAGACGGATGGGCAGAGGGGCGGAGAGACGGACGGAACTCGGCGGTTGATGCTGATCTAACATATATACTATATATACTTTATGGGATCGGAGGTGTCTTCTTCTTCTATGCGTCACACATTTTATGACAAAATCATAATACCCTTTACAAGGGTATGTGTGTGCTTGTGCGTGTGTGCGTGTATGTGTGTGTGTGTGTGCGTGTGTGTGTGCGTGTGTGTGCTTGGAAGAATTCAACCTGGCAGCAAAGGACCCAACCCACAAATCAGCCCACCGCAGGGCAGGCTCTCCATATGGAATACCAATGCCTATGTGTGCGTGTATGTGTGTATGTGTGTGTGTGTGTGTGTGTGTGTGTGTGTGTGTGTGTGTGTGTGTGTATGTGTATGTGCGGCCATTAGGAAATTAGTGATGCTCCACGCAGCAACAACAATCGGCACATTTGGGGCACATTTGGAGTTTTGGGCGAAACTCATGTGAAAGACTCGAAAAAGTTGGGCACAACTGAGCAGCTTTTGTGTGTACAGTAGACGCACGCTAAAGTTAACCAGAGTGAAAGACAGGCCATGCACAATTCGGGCTGATTATGAATGCAAGCATTTTTTTATTAATATTATATTGGAGAAAAAAACACAAGCAAATCCAAAAGTCGCAACGCGTGTCCGTTATCGGATGCCAGACTGTACTCAGCGATTTTTTCAGAAGGAAATGAATGTGGTATTTGCATAATCCTTTTGACAAGCACATAAAACCTTATGTATATGTGTATATGGGGCCACACCCATAACACTCTATTGGGCGGACACGCCGCTTGAGCGGACATCTCTGCGCGCTTCACAGAGTTTTAACAATATGCACATATTCATATAGAAAAATTCTTATAACTTATATAAATCAAGAATAAAACGTTTGTCGAGAAGTTCCATCCGATGTGTCCCTGACGTTTGTGGGAATCTTGGGTGAGCCAGAAAAACGCGATACCATTTCTAGACTTAACTCTTAAGAATTTATTGAAATGAACAGCCGGCAGCTGTTGACGTCTCGTTAGGCGATCAACAAAATTGTAGTTAAGCGTGCAAAATAAAATGGGTATAATTATTTGGAACTTAATGTACAAAGAACAAACGATATTTGCTTAGCTTGGAATGCTCGCTCTGGTCTATCCGGTAAGATTGCCCGGCGGCAGATCGCCGGCCACCGCTTGGGTGGATAATTTTGGTAGGGCGGCTTTTGGCAGCGTTGCGTGCGTTGGCTTTGCGGCCAACGCCGCTTCCGGCGGACTGTGAAAGAAGTAGAGCAGAAAACCGGCGGCCAATATGAAATGGGCGCTCAGTATGCCAATGATAAGGAATAGCGAATACTTTGAGTTGCGCAGAGCGGGCGTCAGCACCGCGATCAGCACCGTGCCGGAAAGCAATGCGGCCGTTATAACGAGCAGCCACTGTAGCAATGATATCTGCAAATGTTAACATATTTAAACAAATTTCACATCATTTACATATGCCATACGCACATTGATCACCCAGAGTATGGAGACGGGTATATAAATGGCCAGGCTATAGCCATAGATGCACATGAGCGACAACAGGCTGGGCGTATAGCTGGCCTGCTAGAGCAAGACAGAGAATAACAATGAGAATGAGAGAGAGAGAGAGTAGAGCAAATAACTATTATGAGTTTCGAACTAACGCTGTCCGTTTCGACGGCATCCGCTTCATCCACTGGCTTCAGGCTGTACTTGAACAGAGCCCAGAGCACGGCCGGCAATATGTTGGCATAGAGAAAGATGCAGGTGGCCGCATACGAGACCAGGTGGAAATTGTAGTGCCAATGGTAGCTGTCGTTCGCCTGCTGCAAATAGCTGGCAAGATTGCCGCTAATCGCTATCGAGAAGATCTGAAAACGAGCCGCATGTGAGTGTATGTATATCAAAGGCGTGACTGTGACTGTGACTGTGCTTTACCAGCGTTACGGTTATCCAAAATGGTCCGTACAGATCCGGATTCTCGCCAATGTTCATGCGCAAATAGTTGGCAGCGGCCCGCTTGGGTATCATTGAGTTAACAATGCGCTCGAGCACCATATACGTGTCCACGTTGAAGAACTGCTGATAGTACTCAATGGTCAGAAACGAGAGACGTGCACCGCCAGCGGCTCCATCCGCTGGTGCGCCCGATCCGCCGGCTGAACCGCCGCCACCGCCGCCGCCGACCATTGTTTGGGCCGAGTTGCTCATATCGTAGATGAGATCCGAGAGCGGATCTCCACGTTGACGCTGTGCGCCGCCGCCGCCGCCGCCGCCAGTTGCATGCGTTGGCGAGTTAACATTGATTTGTGCTGGTGTGCCGCTGTTAGTTGCGCTATAGTCGCGAAACTGTAGCAAATCATCGGTGGTTGGCGTTTCCATAGCTCGCTGATGCCACTACAATATAATTTGTTCACGCTCTTTACTAAAAATTACACGTATTTATCGCAGTGCCTATTTGTTTTTCTCGATCTGCTTTTTTTCTCACACTCCGACGTCAGCTGTTTACTTGGCGCGTGCGTGTGACCAAAGCCTTTTTTTTTTTTTGCATCCGTTTTGGTATTCGCATTTGGTATTTTTTCCCACAACATTTGCATACGTGTGGCCGCCCAAGACAACACATATGTTTGCTGATTGATTTAACCATATACTAAAATGAAATCATTTTTGTATGCTATCATTTAAGCACTCAAGTAGCGCGACAACGAATATCTTTGTGAGTATTAAACAATTTATCGATAGAATACAATAATAATCGATAGTGCCGCGCTATGCAGCACTGTTTGGCTTGCGTCGTCAGCCAACACTTTTTGCAGCTGCAGTACAAAACAATATTCGCAGCCAGTAAATTTCCACATAATTTACTAAATCGCAGGCAAACTGCTGAAAATAACAAGAATATCATTTTCCCAGAAGGGCGACAAACGCGCAGCCGACAAGCCGACAGCCGTCCTTTGCAATCAAAGGACCATAAACAAACAGCCCCGCTCCCCAAACCAAAAAGTACAATCCAAATGCCAGTTAAAAATGGCGAATCGGATGCGGAGGGCGACGTCTCTGGCGCGGAGTCGGAGCGCTCCAATTCCAGCCAGGCACACGACACCTCCGACGAGGAGGAGGAGGAGGAGGAGGCAAATGAATGCGATTCCGATGATTCCTCCGAAATGGATGCCACCGAAATTGAGCTGCGCCGCGCCGAGCACATAGAGGATCTGGGTAAGCAGCAAAATTGTCAATAATCCATGACCACAAACCGCTGAGCACATATCATATCTACAGCCAGCCTCGAGCGACAGTTTAGCCAGCTGCGCGAACAATATTATTACGAACGCATCAGCCTCATTGAACAGCAGCTGTCAGATGTGCGTTCCGGTCGATCCGAGGAGTTTGTGCAGCCTCAAAAGGAGCTGGACAAGGTGTATCGGACGCGCATCGAGGTCGCCGATGTGCTGCGCAAGTTTCGCCTGCAGAATATCGAACACAAATATCTGTCCGAGGAGCAGGCCGCATCCCAGCACTTTGAGGTAAGTGTTCGGGCTCTAATCTTCCGTATCGTGCTGCGTTTTGAAACAACTTTTGCTTTGGCAGAGCGAGAAACAAATGGCGGCGGATAATTTGCGCGAGGATCTAATGGAGCGCATACGACGCCTCGAAGAGGATCGACACAATGTCGACATCTCCTGGGATGACTGGGGCAATGACAAGCGCCAGAGCAAAGTACGCGGACCGGGACGCAAAAAGGCCGTGACCGTTACCGGGCCCTATGTTGTATATATGCTGCGCGAGGAGGATATTATGGAGGACTGGACGATTATACGCAAGGCGCTGAAACGTTCCTCCACGGCGGCCGTGACAGCAACGCCGGGCGTTGCCCCAACAATGCCGCACGGCGTTACTGGCCTGGTGGGTGTGCCGCTAACTGCCACGGCCATGGCGGGCGCCAATGGATAACGGTGGCGTGCCGCTGCCTATGCCCATGCCCGTGCCCGTGCCCGTGCACGTGCACGCAACAAGGAGCTTACCTGATGGCAGCGTAAGGTAGCAAATGCTCTCATAACCAGACCCAAGCCGCGTTACTCCTGTTATTCGCTGCCCCCCTCATGATCATGATGATGCTGTTGATGATGATGATGTTGATGTTGATTATGATTGTAATAATCAGACGCTCGATTATTGTTGCGAGCCATTATGCTACTAAACTCTTACTGTCTCTAGTATAAGAAACAACAAACCGAATGTCAATCCCCCAGAAGCCCGAAGCAAATTAAACTTAAGTCAAAATTGTAGCATAAATATATATATATACATACATTTATGTATTTATGTACGCGCATAACTTTGTATATATATAGACGTATAGAGCGCCAATATCCTCTGCCCTCCCCCCGCGCCTCCATCCACAATGATCGTGTCCCGAAAACCGTGTAGAAAAGTCACACATTCAGTATAAACGACTTGCAATAATGACACATATATATATATATATATATTTCGATATATATATAAGTGTAGATCTGTACACTAAATAAAGCCAATTCTTTTTTTTTGTCTCATTAATGTAAAGCGAAGCAAACTTTTGTTTCTTGATCAGCTCAAGCTAAGAATCTAGATGTTATATAACTTTAAGTAGATATTAGATATATATATAGATATATATACTATGAATATTAAATGTGTATTGTATGGAGTTGTTCGCAAAAGGAATTTAAGTTTCAATTCAGTTTGTGGAAGCTCTCATTTCCGAGACATATGTAAATAGAGCTCTTTGTTTAGTTTTCGTCGGCTTTGCTTTGGATTCGTTTAGATCCATATTTATATACATATATATACAGCTCTATGTGTGGTCTGTTTGGATCATAAACAACAAATTATTAAACAATAGCCCAAACCGTGAAATTCGCATTATTTTCCTGTTAGTTTGCGCTAAAAGTTTCACCTTGAAGGGTGGAAAATGCGTGGAAACAAACCACTTTTATCGAAATTCACTGGATAAAGTTCAAATTTTGTGGGATCGAATCGAAATTTGCATAAAATATCAAAGGAACTGGCTTGGGGAGAGGCGAGCTTGTGGGGAGGGCTCCAACATTGGATCACATAAAGGGATTCCAGATAATGGAGGACATGCCCCCGACATTGGATCACCTAAAGGGATTGCAGATAATGGAGGAACAACATTTTGAGGTGCAATCTCTGCCAGAAAAGGATCGAGTCAGTGAAAAGGATTGCCTCAACCTGCGATTAGAATCGAAGAAGTTGGTTTATGGGAATCTTTAAGAAACTTGCAGCTAGCGAGAGCTTGGAAATTGATCTAATCCGAGTATATATACATACCAGATGCGACAAACCGAGTCCAGAGTCCCGACTTATAATGAATTGTGTTTATTGACAGTAATTTGTATGCGATCTAAGCTAAAATCCCAGCTGCTTGAGATGCGTGCGCAGCAGATCCACATAGTCGCCGTGGATGTGGATCTGGCCGGACAGCTCGTTGACGCGCGTGGCGCACAGCTTGCCATTGCGGGCGCGCTCCACGAGCGCGCGCAGCTCGCGCTCCAAAGCCCAGATGTCGCCGTGGACGCGCCGCACAACGGTTAGGCGACGCTGGCCGCGATAGCGTGTATGCAGATAGACGGGCACCATGTGGTTTTTGGTGCGGGCCACAAAATAGCCGCTGGCCAGGCCATCGGATTTCGGTGGCTGCCAGCCGGAGGGGTAGGCCGGCTTGGCAATTGGCTGTGGCACTGTGGCGGGCGGCAGCAGGCGCTCCACAAACTTCCATTCTGGCGGATTGTGCACGATCTCAACCTCTGGATACTGTTCGAGCGGCTGCAGCTCGCGGGACGAGCGGAAACTGGACAAGCTGGCGGGTTGCGTGTGCAGCGAGCGCACCAGCTGCAAATGTGCTTATTGTGGTTAAGCTTGTTGCCAGGGCGTCGTGGCACTCACCTGTGTCAGGCTGTTGAGCATTCGTTTTGCGCTGGCCGCCATGATTTTCATTCAAATTGATTTCCAGCAAAAGAGGAAAACACAAAATTGTGTTACATATGCGCTGTTGCGGAACTAGTTCGCTGGCTGAACAGTTGCGGCGTTGCCACTGCGCGTTTTGCAGTGCTGTAAAGTGCGCCAGTTCGTTATTGGCGCCTTTTTGTGCGCACACAGGAACACAATTGGTCAAAGCATGCGCGCGTGTGCGTTTGCTTGTGTGTGTGCATACATTTGCATTGCATTTCGCGCGCCTGCATCTGTGTGTGCGTTTGTGTGCAACAAATGCCGCCAGCGACGTCACCGTTAGAGCCAAAGCTTTTTGCACACACACACACAAATGCAGATATGCAAACACAAGCTTATTTGAATCGCCGCAACTGCAGCTGCTTCGTTAACCGTTGTTGCTCTTGCTCTTGCTCTTGTTGTTGTTGTTGCTGGTTGCCGTTTTTTTTTTTTTGCTGCATTTGATGTTGATTCTAGCAGCAGCAGCCGCCAACCGTTTGGCATTGTTTACGTTGCAGCTTTTATTTGTCAGCTTTTTACGCTCAGTTTCGGTTTCAGTTTTCTCGGCGCTTTCGTTGCGACAAGTTGTTGCTGTTGCCCATTTACAAAACAAAAACCAACAACAACAGCAACAACAAAATAATAAAAAATACCCCCCACCCACAAGCAAAACAATTAATTTTTTTTATTTTATTTTATTATACCGTTTGTTGCATTTGCCCGCCGCAATTTGCGCCGCTGCAGCTGCGAGTGAGAGCGAGAGAGAGAGAGCGAGAGAGCACGCGTGCAATATCTGAAATTGTTGTTGTTGTTGTTTTTGCGCTAGCAAAAAATAGGCGTGTAATGTGCGTTGCGCTAGCTCCTGCTGCAATTGTAACGGTGCCGCGGCAGTGTGTCAGTGTTGTAAAGCGTTAGCATGGCACGCAAGGATGATCCCGTATTCAATGTGAAATTCGTGCAGCTGGTGGAAAATCAGGCATGCCTATGGAACTATACACATCCGGGCTATAGCAAAAAGGAGGAGGTGCAGAAGGCCTGGCAACATGTGGCCAATGAAATCAAGGATACAGGTGCTAAAATCCAAACACACATATGTATCTATATGTGAACAAAAGCAAACGTGCTGCAGGCTAAAAAAAGTTTTCATCTAGCCTGCTGCTGCACTTGTAGATTTCCATTTTCGTTTATTTTTTTGTTTTTTTTTTTGCAATTGCGTGCTCATTTGTTGTGCAAATGTGTGCGCGCGCGTGTGTATGTGTGTGTGTGTGTGTGTTGGCGCGCGCCTATGATGCAAGCTTTTCGCTGCTGCTGCTGCTGCTGTGTGTGTGTGTGTGCGTGTGATTTCAATGCAATCGCAATTTGTAGTCGTGCCTACTCGCTTGCACTCGACGCTCAAATGCATGCGTGTGTCTGTGTGCGTGTCTGTGTGCGTGTGTGTGTATAGGTGTGTCACTGTGTCACACACAGCAATAGCTGCGCGCGGCGTTTGCATGCAATTAGTCGCTGTTGCTGCGCTTCTTGTTGTTGTTGTTGTTGTTGTTGTTGCTGCCTGCTTTTGGCATGTTATTAAAAAAAAAAAACAGTTTGAGCAACCGCAGCGCAGTGGAAATACCCTGCATGTAAACAGCTGCAGGCTTAACCAACACTTGTTGCCGCACACCGCTGCCATGCTGTGTTTTACAGCACTGCACATGTAATATCCCCTAGAGCAAAAGACATTGTGTGCTTGTGTTTTTTACAGCAAATATTTATGGCAAGCAGTCCAAGCAGTCTTTTTTTTTCTTTGAGGTTATGTTTCCTAAGAGCTTGACTATTTTAAGGTTATGTTTTGCGGCGAATTCTTATGTTTTATATTTTAATTATTTAAAGGCATATTACCTAGAAGTGTTGATAGTTTTGGGTAGAATATGAAGAAGAAGACGAATAAAGAGGGGGGGGGAGTAGGTTTGATTCAACTGTAGCCTTAGTTTTCTAGCTGTATGTATGTATATTTTTATAGGGTATACCTCGAGTTGCTGCGTGCCACATAACGAATACATCTCCATTTCCATGCATTGCAGTGCGTAACTCCCGGGAACGTTGGCGTACCATACGCAGCAGCTTCCTGCGATCCTTGAAGGCGGCGCGCACCTCGACGGGTCGCGGCAAACGCAAATATTACTTATCCAAATATCTGCAGTTTCTGATACCCTATACAAAGTCGCGCGCCTGTCACAAACAGTTGCCCGCCCAATCCAGTGCGAATGCGATTGCCATGCCCAATCCCAATCCCAATCAGAGTCCCAACAATGCTGGTGGCATGGTCTTGCGCAAGCCGAGCACCTCAACGACGGCGGCAACATTTCTTGCGGCCGCTGCGCTCAGCACGCAGCCAATGACGCGCATTGGACACATGCGCCTGCTCGAGCATCATCATCATCATCAACATCAGGAGCAGCAACATCAGGAGCAGCATCATCATTCGCATCAGGTTAACGAGTGCGACGATAACACCAAAGACAGCATTGACAGCCAGCCGGCGCATGTGCAGGTCTCCGAGGAGGAGCTCGACCAGGAGCAGCAGGAGCAGCACGAGGATGAGCCGGAGCAGGAGACAGTTGCCAGCCAGCTGGCGCAGACACCGCTGCGCCTGCAGTCCATCAAAGTGGAGCAGCAGCAAAATGCTGACAAAATTGTTGCGGCAGCTGCGCAGCATTCGCTGGTCACGCTGCCGGTGACAATGGCTGCGGCGCTGCGCAACAACATGGACTGGACGGTGGCCGAGTGGCTCAAAGGCAGCAACAGCCAGTTGCAGTTGCAGCATCTGCACCACAGCAGCAACAACAACAACAACAACAACAACAGCAACAGCAACATGTTGACGCATCTGGGACACGCGGCAACAACGCCGCCAGCTGCAAGCACACCTGCACCACCTGCAGCAGCGGCAGCAGCAGCGACGCCGACGGCGGCAGCGCAGCCGGATGCGGATTATTCGTTTTTGATCAGCCTGCATCCGTATCTGAAGGAGATGAGCGGCAAGCAGAATCGTCGCTTTCGTCAAAAGGTTGTCGGACTCATTGACAATGTCCTGGACAATGTGGATGTTTAGGCGCACTCAAAACAACAACAAAAACAATATAAACAAAAAGAAAAAAAAAACAAACAACCGACAGTGCCCATTTGTTATATATAGCAACTAAATGTACATGTATTGTTTAGGCGTTTAACGCAATTATTGCATTGTTTTTGTTAAAGTTAAACACACACAAACACACACACACACACACACACACATTTGTTATATGTAAAAAGCAGATAAAACAAAATATATGTATGCATTGCAATGCAAATAAAACGCTTTTGCAAACAAATTCAAATGTTGTATTGTACGCATTTTACAGCACTGCCAGCAACAGAGCGTTGCCAGACTGCAATTTAACCAGCTAGCGCAGCACTTGCACGCATCAGCTGACTTTTAGAACTTATGGGCAGCGCTGTGCAGCACTTATTGCTAGAGATTAAGGCAAAAAAAAATCAATTCAAAAGCAATGTTAACGCTTTTTGAATATTAATAACGTGCTGGACACATCAAACATTTGTATAAAAGTAGGTAGGTGTATGTGTGTGTGTGTGCGTGTGTGTGTGAAGCGTGCATGTGATGTAATTTGCGGAGCAGATAACGCGAATCCGCAAAGCTATTGTTAATGCTAATAATTATTATATAAAAGCAACACTGTGCACACACACACACGCACGCACACACACACACACAGAGTCAGTTTTTGGAGAAAGTTGTCGTAGTAGTCAAACAATTGTTATAATTCGCGCGCACGTTCTACTTATTTAGGTGGCGTCCAGCAGGAGAGTCGCACGTTCCGATCCAGCGTGAAGCAGGATTTAAATATATAAGCAAAATGAATAAATGCTGCATACAGACACAACAGTCCTCCAATATTCTTGACATATACAACAGCAGCAGCAGCAGCAACAACAACAAGTCCAGCAATTGCAACGGGAGCATGTCCAACGATGATGACTATCCCGTGACAATCACAGATGCGACACGCCTGCACATGGAGCGGCGCGTCCGTGCGGCCTATGAGTTCTTTGACCGGATTCTGCGTCTCTATGATGTCAGCCAGTTGATATTCTGCTTTAATGGCGGCAAGGATTGCACCGTGCTGCTGGATCTGCTGATGCGCTATTGCCGGGAGCATGGCATCGCCAGCCGTGACATACCGATGCTTTATATTGAGTCGGATGATTCGTTTGCCGAAATCGATGATTTTGTTGTGCACTGCGTGCGCCGGTACGATGTTAATCTAATTAAATATAAGGACTCGCTGAAGGTGGCGCTCACCCACATGACGGAGGATATGCCGCGCATCAAGGCCGTCTTTGTCGGTAGCCGCAATACGGATCCCTATTGTCAGCATCTTCAGCCCATGCAGGTGCGTCGCACTCTCTCTCCCACTCTCTCTCTCTCTCTCGCTCTGTTTTGTACAAAGTCTAATTGTTGATGATTTGCAGAAAACGGACAGCGACTGGCCGGATATAATGCGTTTGAATCCTTTGCTGGAGTGGAGCTATCATGACATCTGGCATTATATTCACATGCATAAGGTGCCCTATTGCCAGCTGTATGCGCAGGGCTACACATCGATTGGCTACAGGTCCAACACCTTGCCCAATCCGCATTTGCAGCACAGCAGCTGCTCGCCGGCGAATCCTGCTGCTGCTGCTGCAGCAGCTGCCGTTGCCTGCTTCAAGCCCGCCTGGGAGCTAGCCGATCCCACAACGGAGCGTGCCGGTCGCCTTAATCGCAAATAGTCGAGGCATTTGCCGCCTCCAAAAACTAGTTGAATCCGCCAATAGTGCAATTGTATTGTAAATATCTTCATAATTACTTTTTTTTTATCTGCAAGAAATTTGTACATATGTTTCTAAACAAGCGAGTCCTTATGTACTTAAAACACAAGTGTGTATCTAAACACACAATATACTAATTATCAATACACACACACACACACACACACATATGTATATGTATGTGTATGCATCTTGTCTAGCTTTGCGCTGGCATTCATTACACGGCACACCCATTTTCGAGTTAACTGCAAGATTCTGCAGCTGTTGGCAATTTTCTGCTAAACATTTGAAACCGCAGACATGCTCGACAATTAACTCGTGCCAGCAGTGTACAGTGAAGCCTGCGCGAGTTGAACACACACCACATTAGCAGCTAAATGTCGTAACAGACGGTTAACAGTTTTCAATCATGTAAAGCTTAACAGGCGCAACAGTATCTAATGTCATCAAGTTAACATAAGCAGTACGACAACATTATAACATGCATGTCAAATGTTTACAAGCAGCTTTATGCCGAGTGCCCTTAGCGTTTGAATAGCCCATTTAAATGAAATACAAATCAAATTCTGCGGGCAGTTAACATTTTGATATGTTATTAACAATCAGAATGCAACGAATATTGCTTGAGAACAGCTTTAAAACGGATTTAAGTGCTAGTTATGTAAGTTAGTTGACACAGTTTGTGATTTGTAATGGCATTCTAATAAAATGTATATTAAAAAACGAATTTTTCGATACAGTCTGTTTGCATTTAGTTCTTAAACATATGTGCATATTAATATTGTGCGCCATCAATTCAGTTGCAAGGACTCGAAGCGCAGATAGTCGGATTGCTGTGCCGCCTGCTGCCTCTTGTCAGCAATGCGAGAGCCGAACTGTATGGCCCGCTTCTTGAGCAGCACCGCCTCGCGCAGCCCCAGACTGTGGCCGTACAGGCGCAGCAGCAGCTTATCGCCAACGCCCTCGGCCAGACTATAACAGCAGCGCTGCTGTGGCGCCAGTGAGCGCACAAAACTGGCCAGATGCTCCTCGATGAAGGGGGCGCGCGCCGTCTTGCCGCTGTCCGCAATGATGCGATCGTCGCGCGCCAGATTCCTTGCCGGTATGCGCTGCCAGTCCATGTCCAGCTCCTGGCGCACGGCCAGCTGACGCGAGTGCCCATCGCTGCCGGCACGCCGCCAGGCATTGCGATGACGCGTATAGCCGCCAAAGAGCTCGTCGGCGCCGCTGCCCAGGAGTGCAACGCGTGCCGTTGATTGGGGCGCGGCGGCGGCAAACCAGAAGGCACAGCCCAGGCACTCGTCCAGCACCGTTTGCAGCGGATAGATCAGCTGGCGGATGTGCGTGCTCAGCTGTTGCTGCAGCTTGCGTCGGCTGACATTCACCTGCAGCAGCTGCCAGTTGCGCTGCGGGCACAGGCGCTGCAGTTCGTCCAGCGTTTGTAGCGAAGTCTGGCGATCCGGCACATTCCATTTGCTCTCCGGCTGCTGAGCCGGCCCGGCTGCTGTTGCCGTCAGCCGCTCAAAGGCCACATTGATGAGCTCGATGGGCTCCGTTTGCGGCACATATTTGTCGGCGAGCAGCGCCAGTATGCTGCAGTCAATGCCGCCCGAGAATAGTATGGAGATTTTGGCATGAGCACAGCTGCCAGCTGTGGCACATCTGCGGCAAACGGGCGCCGTATGCAGCACACGTGCCGCCACCGAATGCTGCAGCAGTTCGTCCAATTTGCGTATCGCCTGCTGCACAGGCGCATGCTCCAGCAGACGCTTGTAGAGCGCCTCCGGCTCCAGCTGCACTGTCTCGGCGGCGGCTAGCTCGTATAGATCGTAGCTGGCCACCTGTGTCTGTGTCGTGTCGAGCAGCCATGCCGGCGCTATGAGCCGCTCCAGCCTTGTGCTCCAGAGCATGGCAGCGTCCAGCAACGCCAGCTGCTGCTCTGTGTCCTTGTTAAGCTGCTGCCAGGGATATAATGTGCACTTGTCGAGCTCCGCCACATGCAGCTTGTACAGGCCCAGTGGCGGCAGCTCCGTTGAGGCAGCCGGCGCCTGCTGCTCCACGTGGCACGAGGTGCTCATCAGCTTGAGGCAATGCGTGTGCCGCTCGACGATTAGCGAATTTCTGCCCAGTGCGTCGCGGCAAAAGTACAGAACCTGGTCACGTCTGCGGAAATTGGTTAATGCATTAATGATTTATGCTGGTCGGGTATTTGTTGTACCTGTTGTAGAGGATCAGGCAGTAGGGTCCCTCGAGCCGCTGCAGCAGCGCCAACAGCTGCGCATCGTCGCTGCTCTTGCAGTTGATTAGCTGTTCCAGCAGCCAGGCGCTGTCTGCCTGGGTTGGGGGCTTCTTTTCATTTAAATTGTACAAGTCTCCGTTGAAGAGCAGCACCAGATCCTCCTTGACTAGGGGCTGCTTTTGTGGCGCGGCGCCCTGTTGCCACAGAACGTTGCCGGCCAGCAGCACATTGTCCACGATGAGCTTGTCTTTTAGGTCGGGTCCGCGATTGTGTAGTAGCGTCTCCAAGGCGCTGTGCATATGACAACTGGCATCATCATTATTACGGCTTATTCCACAATATATGCCGCACATTACAAATTCAAAATGCCAAATGTACGATATGTAAACATTGGCATGTGCGTGCGCTTTCCGAACCGGTTCAATTGAGCGGAAATGTTATTGCACAGCACCATTTTGAGTAATTTTCGTTTTGCGCCATTTTGTGTTTTTGCTTTTCGGCATTTCGCCATTTTGCTTTTCCTTTTGAAACGATGACTTGTGTAGTTTGCTTTAAATTGAATGACTGCCAGTTTATTTAACTTATATCTTATGGCATATAAAGTGATTTTGAATTTACATACGCATGTACATATGTATATTAATTAGCTGTTAAGAATATCTCGCCTGGTGCACAGCATACAGAATTACATACAAACATACTCAGTCATCTAAATTTAGCAGAAATACTAGATTTAAATTTAATTACAACAAACGCTTTGTAGTTGACACTTATAATAAATGTGAATTTAATATATATATATATATATATTTAAGACGGCAATGCATAAAATGCAATGCATTGACTTAATTCGCTTAACATAGCGCTGTTAGCGTTAACATACTGTTAAGTTCTATGGGCTTTTGCCAACACTGTGCAAGCGAACCGAAATAAACTTGTTTGGCCAACAGCTGTTTTAAATTTCGCAACATACGTGCAAGTTTATTTATTTTTGTTTACGTAACTGAATATTTCTATTTTTTAGTCAGCAACGAAATACCAAATTGTATGTGCCAACGACACGCACACACACACACACCCAAAACCAGACGCACGGTCCGATGCAGTAGCGTCCCAAAACTTGTTGTTGACTGCGCCTCGATTTGCCGGCAACAGCCGAAGAACAACAACTGCGACAACTGAGCGCAACTGAGCGCAACACCCACTCATCGCCAACTGGTCAAACGTGTGCTGATGGCACGCACAGCACAAGACGTGCTCGGCGTGCTGCGCGGCCTGCAAATCGTTGCGGAGGCGTGCGGTCGCGAGCATCTGGCGCTGACTAAGCATCTGTGGAGCAATTCGAGTGTGCGCGAGCTGCTTGAGGCCAATGTGAATCAGACGGTGGACGCGCTGCGCACGGCCAGCGAACAGCCCAGCGAGGAATTGAAAAAGGCTCAAGCCCTGCTCCAGGAGACCGGCGAACGTGGCTACGTGGTGGCCCAGGGTCTGTCCCACTTGCTGCAAACCAAAATCGCTTGTGATCTGAACGGCCTGCAGCCCATCGGCTGGCAGCCCAGCTCGAGCACAACAGCTGCTGCGGACGGCGCTGTTGGTCACGTGTCGCGCTCAAGTCGCAGCCATTCGGATGTTGCCGATGCCGCCAATCTGGATATATCGTCCATAACGCTGTTGGAATTCGAGGAAATTCTCTCCAAGCGCAACATGAATCGCAACGTCAGCCTGCGCACGCCCGCCACGCCCAGCAAGCAGCTGCCCACCGAACCGAAGGCGACGACGCCAACGATCAAGGCGACGCCGCCAGCGCCCAGCGGCAATGAGGGCATCCTCAGCAGGGACACCGAATATGTGGACAATCTGATGCGCTTTGTGGCCGGCACCTCGACCATGGCATCATCGACGGCGGCAAAAACTGGTATGCATGAAAAGCATTTCCGTGTTTCAATTCCATTGTGTATGCTTGTTTCATTCTTTTTGTGTTTCGATTTCGCATTCCCTTTGTGAATTTGATTTCAATCTATATTTATTAGCTGTATTATAGCTTAAGCTCTGTTTCGAAAGTGTTCCATTTACAGTTGTTCCATTCCAGTTGTTCCTCTACAAATATTTTAATGCATATGTAATTCAAAGGTATTTTCAATTCCAAACGTGTTCCAATTCCAGTCGTTTCGCCCATTTCAAGTCTTCCATTTAGAGTTTTTCAATTCCAAACGTGTTCCGATTCCAGTCGTTTCGCTTATTTCGAAAGTGTTCCATTTACAGTTGTTTCATTCCAGTTGTTCCCCTACAAATTCTTTAATGCATACGTAATAGAAAGGTGCTTTCAATTCCAAATGTTCCGATTCCAGTCGTTCGCTTAGAATATCCAAGAGGAAAACAGCAGAGTACCCTAAAATTGCTTTGATTGTAAAAATAGGTATAAAGCGTAATCAATTTAAAATTGTTCTGAAGGTGTTCTGTTTCCAGTCGTTTCTTTAAGGTCTGTCAATAGATACAATTATTTCCATTGGTGTTCCGCTTCCAGTTGTTCCCTCAATGAAAACATCAAACTATTCCGAAATTGTAAATGCACATTCAATACAAGAATTCACAATTTCAATTGGTGTTCCGTTTCCAGTCGTTCCCTGGCAATATCCACTAGCCTTTAGCTCAATAACAAAGCACTCACAATGAAATTGATTCGAAATAAACTGCCTCTAATCCGAACTCATGCCATACATCTGACATGTTCCCAATTTCTAGCTGCTCCGAAGGCCCCCGAATCGACGCTGCCGGAACTGAGCAAGGTGGCCAAGCAGCGGCGTGTGCCGGCATCGCGTCTGGGTCGCATGGCCACATTTGGCGGCCTCTTCGCCGGCCTCGGCGTGGGCACCATTAATGAGCTGACAAAGGGCGCCCTGGGATTGGGCGGCTCAACGAATATGCGCGACGCACTGCTGAGCCCGGCGAACGCGGAACGCATTGTCGATACGCTGTGCAAGGTGCGCGGCGCCGCGCTCAAGATTGGCCAGATACTGAGCATACAGGACACAAACGTTGTCTCGCCGCAGCTGGCCAAGGCGTTCGAGCGGGTGCGCCAGGCGGCCGACTATATGCCCGACTGGCAGGTGGAGCGCGTGATGAACACACAGCTGGGTCCCGATTGGCGCAAACGTTTGCGCAGCTTCGATGACAAACCGTTTGCGGCGGCATCCATTGGCCAGGTGCATCGGGCCACGCTGCTCGATGGCATGGAGGTGGCCATTAAGATACAATATCCGGGCGTTGCCCAGAGCATCGAGAGCGATATTGATAATCTGGTTGGCATGCTCAAGGTCTGGGATGTCTTCCCCCAGGGCTTCTTTATCGACAATGTGGTGCGCGTCGCCAAGCGCGAGCTGCAGTGGGAGGTCGACTATGCACGCGAGGCGGACTATACCGAAAAGTTTCGCCAAATGATTTCACCCTACAAGGAATATTATGTGCCCAAGGTGGTCCGTGAGCTGACCACCTCCAGTGTCCTGACCACGGAACTGGTGCCAGGTGTGCCCCTCGACAAGTGCTTTGAGCTCAGGTGAGTGCAAGTTAGTCTGGCCATTGGTTAGACAAGGACGGCGCTGTGCAGTGCTGCATTTCACTGATTCACTTCACTGATTCATTTCACTGATTCACTGGTTCCAAAGTACTGAGAACTAATGACATAGGTTAGACAAGGATAACCTTACTTTTCTGTCTAGTGTCATCAGAGCATAAATATTAGCCGAATGACACTTGTTAGGTGTTTCTGGCCCTGCTGGAGACTTTCTCTGTTAGCTTCCAATTCAGTCTAAGCTTTCCATCCTGCAGATTCGATATAGATCTAGTTCATGTTTAGATTACAGACCTAGACACGTGTCACCATAGCATAATCGCTCGCCCAATGACACTAGACGTTTCTTTGCAACTTAACCTATATTTAAGCGAACTTATTTGTGAATACCCCCTTCAGCTATGAACATCGCTCACACATCGCCGCCTCTGTGCTGAAGCTCTGCCTGCGCGAGCTGTTCGAGATCGAGTGCATGCAAACGGATCCGAACTGGTCGAACTTTCTGTACGATGTGAACAGCCGGCGTCTGATGCTGATTGACTTTGGATCGACGCGCTTCTACAAGCACGACTTCATACGAAACTATCGGCAGGTCATCATCAGTGCGGCGCAGAATAATCGGGATGGCGTGCTGCAGATGTCGCGCGAAATGGGCTTCCTGACGGGCTATGAGACAAAGCAAATGGAGCAGGCGCATGTCGACGCTGTTATGATACTCGGCGAGATCTTTCGCTATGATGGCGATTTTGATTTTGGCAAACAGAATACGACCGAGCGCCTGGCCGCCCTGGTGCCCACAATGGTGGCGCACCGTCTCTGTCCGCCGCCCGAGGAGATCTACTCGATACATCGCAAGCTGTCGGGCATCTTTTTGCTGTGCGCCCGTCTCAATGTGCGCATGAACTGTGTGCCCTTCTACAAGGACATCATTTTGGGCAAGTTCAAGGACTAATTCGCTAACAGCTTGTTAACATTTTTGTGTTTCTGTTGTGCCTATTGACAAAACAAAAGTGCTCTTAGTTTCTATGTTTGCTACTAAATGAAAGTTGACTAAAATGTTTATGTAGAACGGGTGCGGCATAAATAAACTTGTTTTAATATTCAAAATGCGTTTAACAGTTGCAAATGGTTAACCCACTAAAGCACAGTTAACCCAACTAAAGCACATTTTATTTTTGAGTGTTTTTCATAACTGATTACTCAAAAGGTTCTGTTAAAAATGTTGTTTTTCAAAAATATATATATTTTCCGTCACAGCTCTAGTTTCTGGTCAGAAATTAAACTCATACGAAAGCCTTATACATTTTTTTTTACATTAGATAACGAAAATATTGTCAACTTGTCCCGCAAAATAGTATTTGAGCAATATTAATAATAAAATAACAGCTTCAATTAACGGAACTGCTTAAGAACTGTAAATAGTTTCTTGAGCTGACAAAATGGTACAAAATGAGCGAATTATTGAATATAAATAATAATAAACTTACAAACTATGAAAAAGCCGCCTACTTTTATTTATTTATAGCTGTGAGAAGAATAAACCAAGTTTAATAATATGTATGTTAAGTGCTTTAGCTTAACAGCATCGTTTAACAGAGAGTTGAAAGAATTGCAGATTACAGATCACAGCTAAGATTAACAGAGATTTGAAATGAATTGCAGATTACAGATCACAGCTTAGATTAACAGAGATTTGAAATGAATTGCAGATTACAGAGCACACTGTTATGCTCAAAGCAACTCTGTGTTCTGGATGCGAGCAATTGAAACAAGCGCGCCTTGCCATTGTATTCGACAGTGTCAGCTGTCTGACTAACTTTTCCAGTTCGGAGCAGTAGTTAGCCATTACGACTCAATAACTACACAACTACACAATGGAGTTGCATCCCTCGAACTCCAGCAGCGGCAACAGCGCCACCAGCGCCGCCAGCAACACCGTCAGCCTATTGGAGCCCACCGAATCGGAGGTGCAACAGATTGCCGCCGAGCTGGAGCTGATGAAGGTCTATCTGGATAATGTAGAGTCGCAGCTGAAGACGGGCGTGCCCGCGTGCCCGGCACGTTTGCCTGTCGATTGCGCTAATATAAAGCCCGAACTGAAGGATTCCAGCAATGCGAGCATTAGGCAGCTGCAGCGCAACGTCTACAAGTTGGAGCATCAAATTGCCGAACTATTTGTTTGCTCCGACATGGCCAAGGATATGCTGACCGTACTGGGGTGCGCCTTCTGCCAGCTGCAGCGAGACATGCGCGATGCACGCCAACAATACGATGCCGTCGAATCGATTAAGCTGCAAACGGATCATGAGGCATCCGTCTGCCTGCAGCGCTACAAGCATTTGCACCATGTGTGCGCCGATTGGGGCGAGACCAAGGATAAGGTCAAGGAAATGCAGTCGATTTTCTTGAGTTATGTGAAGTCGATGCACACAAAGACAGCATACCTTGCGGAGAAGCCCATTCGGTTCAAGCAATTGGAGGAAGCCGAAAATATTTGTATGCGCGCCACCAAGCAGCTGATCCGACAGGCCAAGGATATGGAGGATTATCTGGACGCGCTGCTCGATGTCCAGCTGCTGAGCCAGGTGTCGTGTGTTAATCCTGGCAAGCATACTGTTGGCGAACTGGAGCCGCATAACATACGCTTTAAAAGCAACATTTTACCAACGATTCCGCCCTTTGTTTCCTTTTCGAACACCTGGCATAATCGCATGATGCACATGATCAAGCATAAGTTTATATTGAATGGTTTACCCAAGCACAAGACTCATTAGGGATGAGCGTGTGTGAACTCTATTGTATACATTTATAGAATAGAATATTTTGCAAGACTTGTAGAAAATATGTTTAATAGAATGCTCGTTAGTAGTTGATGCAATACGAAAAGTCACTCAATTCGTTCAAAATTAACGGCTAAAGGCGGCAGCTTATGTTAAATGTGAGCAACAGCAAAGCACACTCTTATTGCGCTGCTGCTGATAACATGAGCGCCACAGGCACTATATTTTCAAATCTTGTGCGCGGAACAGTACAAACATCGCTGCAAACGCGTATATTTGTTTTACAAAAACAATTTAGCAAATAGCGCACCACTATTAAGGTTTTTTATATATAGCAGTCGGCGGTGTGCTTATTTTTCTTATAAGGTATACAAAGTTAAAGAGTGTCATGCTAGCATAAAAACGCCATGTTATGGCTAACACCGCCAGTTAACCGTTCACTTTGAGCATAACATTGCAGTGCAGTTTGAGTATTTAGCGTTATTCTGACTTTTTATTTGAATTGGTTTTCTTTACAATTGTTGTCGGCTAAACAGTTTGATTAAAATCGCTTTGGTTTCATTTAATTGGTAAAAATGTGCAACTGTTGACCGCACAACGCGCGTTAAATCGTGCCATGCAATTGGCAAAGATGCCCAACTGCGTGAAGCATACGTAAATAATAAAATGTCGCTACTCTCTTTTAAATATCATATTCAGTGCGTTTTTGCATTTCGTGCGTGTCAGATCGTTCGTCGTGCACTTCGTGCGTTTGTGTGATCGTCGCTGTCGTCGTTAACCGACAGCAGCAGCAACAACAACAACAACTATAGTAATAATAATATTAACAACAAAAGCAACAAGAGGCTATGCATGTGTGTGTGTGTGCGGGTGTGTGTGTGTGTACGTGTATTTTTATTAAATTTAAATTCTTGGCTCTTTATTTATTTATTATTATTTTGCTTTTTGTCTTGTTTAATTCAATATTTGTTGCCGCCTGTCACGCTATTTGTTTATATGCCCGTGTACTGTTGTTGCTGTTGTTCTTGTTGTTGCTGTTGTTGTTGTTGTTGCTGCTGCTGCGACTTAAAACCGCGCGCGCGCAACTCAAAGCCGCCGCCTGCATTTGTGCTAATGTGTCTACTGTTTTCGCATATACACAATTATAATATTTATTAATATGCCCGGTCTTTATATTTTTTATTTTTATTTTTTTAAAGTTTTAATTTATTTTATTTATTTTTTTTTGTGCGTGCAACAGGTTCAACAAAAGCGACTAAATTAGTGCAAAATTTTACAACACATGTCATTTCAAAAAAAGAGAAAAAAAAAAAGTACTGTGTGTACATGTGTGTATGTGTATGTGTGCATGCATGCATATCAGTGTGTGCGTGTGAGGAAGTTACAGTTTAATGTTGGTTAGTCTCAATTGTCGACGGCGACGCATTGCGGCTGATTGATGCCAGTTGCTGCTGTTGTTGTTGCCTGCTGCTTTGGACAAACAAATGTAAGTATGCAAGTGTGCGTGTGCGTGTGTGTGCGTGTGCGAGAGAGGGAGAGAGAGAGAGTGCAAAACGAAAGCCGCAAGACAAAGTGCAATAGCAGCAGCCGCAGCCGTTGATCTTTTTATGCTGCTGCTGTTTATCAATGAAAGTGTTTTTGCTTCTTCCTTGCTTTTCATTTTGTTTTTTTTTTGTTTTCTTGGTGCTGCCAACTTGTTGCATTTGCAAGCTTTAAGTGCAGCTGTGTCTAAATTGCCTTGACTAATGCTGTTTTGCTTAAGTTTATTAGTTATTGGCTAGCTATATTACAACTGTGTCAACACAAACACACACACACACACACACACGCCACAAATATATATTTAATATTATTTACTGTAGTAGCTGCTAAGAATCGTGTCTGCAAAATTTGAATATCAAATAGTTGTTTTTTTTCTGCTAGTTTTTTTTTTGCTCTTTGCCACACCCTGTTCTTAGAGCGCAGGCCTTGGCAGGTATCTGCGACTTCACTTGCCATCTGAATGCAATTTGTAATTGAATAATGCTTTTTGCAGGGTATTTGCTAGTTGGGCACTGTGCATTCGTTTTGCGCTTCGTTCGCAGGCAGCGCATTTGTTGTTGTTGTATTCGTTTGTTTATCTCAATTTCTGATTGTTTATAGCTGTTTGCAGGGTATTTGCTAGTCGGGCACTGTGCACTCCTGTTGCTTTTGAATTTTTATAGTTTTTCTCCTATTCATCTCGCTTGGTTCGCAGCCCAAAATTAACTCTATAAAACGTGACATTTTCTTAGCTACATTTACAATAATGTTGTTTTTTTTTTTGCACTTGGGCTTATTTGTTCTTCTTTATTATATACACATGTGTGGGCTCCTTCAGTGTGTGTGTGTGTGTGTGTGTGTGTGTGTGTGTGGGGCTGTTAAACTGTTTTACATATGTAGCATGTGTATTGAGAAATGCCGTTGCCAGCGGCAGAGGCAGCGGCAGAGGCAGCGGCAGCGACAGCGACAACAACAATGCGAAGAAACCTTTTGATAATCATATCACGCAGTCCACTGATAATTCCCCATTGTATTCTATTTGTTGTTGTTGCATCGTATTATCAGCTGCGCTTTCGCTCTCGCCCTCTCTCTCCTCTCTTATAGTCGCTCTTTCGCCCGCTCTTAAGAGCGCATCCATTTGTTTGTCTCTTATTTCATTTGCCGCCACGAAATTGGAATTTCTTTGCATACATGCGAATATTTGTGTTTTGTTGTTGTTGTTGTTGTTGTTTTTATAGCTATTATTAAATTTAGAATACAGTGAAAACTCACGTAGTTCGATTGTTTGCATCGATAATATATGCTATACATACCTAATAATCACTTAAAATATATATTTTATTTTAAATCTTTTATCAATATCAAATAAAACGTGCTTAAACGCGCGATATGCTAATCTATATATATATATATATATATAGTCAAGATATATGTTGAATATTTTTCTTATATTTTTAAGCAAACAAAAAAAACATGACTTTTCGACAAATTCATCTGTTCAGATAGTGTGGAATATATAGTAATAATATTATGTTTCTCTCATGAAAATCTCAGGCTAATATATATATATATATATTCCCCATATATTCCCTATATATTCCCTTTTTTCGAAATATACAACATTCTCGAAGAAATAAAATAAAAGAGTTTTTTGAGAAAGTCGTCTGGAATTTATCTTATACATATATATCTTACAATTCGTATTCTTATAGATCTCGAGTTCAGAAATTCGTTGTTTACAGTTAAAACACGTCGCGTTTATTTAAACAGACGAAATGTTAGATTTCCATTTGTTTATACCCGTAG